TGGATATAACAGCCAGGTGGGTGACTTTGGACCAATCACCAGGAGACTGGGAGTTCTAGTCTCACCTTAGGCATGACAGCCAGGTGGGTGACTTTGGACCAATCACCAGGAGACTGGGAGTTCTAGTCTCACCTTAGGCATGACAGCCAGGTGGGTGACTTTGGACCAATCACCAGGAGACTGGGAGTTCTAGTCTCACCTTAGGCATGACAGCCAGGTGGGTGACTTTGGACCAATCACCAGGAGACTGGGAGTTCTAGTCTCACCGTAGCCATGACAGCCAGATGGGTGACTTTGGACCAATCACCAGGAGACTGGGAGTTCTAGTCTCACCTTAGAGGCTTAGATGCTCCATGACGCCTCCGCAATGCTCCAGCTGCTCGGCAGGTAACGAACGAGGGTGGGTGGATGGGCCCTCTGGAGCACCGTACTGAAACGATACTCGGTGCTCCCGGCAGGCACCGGTACGCCCGTTCCGTGCCATTACCGCCTGCAACCCACCACTGTTCTAGGCCTTCCTGTCCTCTACCATCCTCCAGAGTCCATTTTAGCTCACGCCGACTGCTTCGGGGACTCCATCCATCCACCTCATTCTTTGTTCCTACGTGAGGAAAACTAATCGCCCATCCCTGTTCTAGAGGCTGCTTTTAGTAAGTACTAAAGATAGTAAATGTTTGTCCCCGAGACGGAAAGCTGTAGAACAGCCGGACGGTGTCTGAGAACCAGGCGTCCTCTGTCAAGCTTAATCCCCATTAAGTGGGTGACTGGACCGTCCCGTGAGGTCAGCCCTTCAGCTTGGCGGCCCCCAATGCTGACCTCGCTCCTCAAACGAAAACAGCGGGGAAGCAAAACTGGCGCATCAGCCCGGTCTGTTTCTCCAGATCCCTGCTGAGGGCTCGAGGTTGCGAGAGGGAAACGGTGCCATCACACCACATGGGATCCAACCTCCACACGCACACAAGCAGACGGATGACGCGGGATGCTCGTATGCCCCTCCACCCACTGGGCAATACTCCCCTACTACAGGTAGTCCTCGACTTACAACAGTTCCTTTGGTGATCGTCCAAAGTTACAACGGCACTGGGAAAAAGTGCCTTGCGACTGTTTTCCACAACCTTTGCAGCACCCCCACGGTCGTGTGATCAAAATTTGGACGCTTACCAATTGATTCGTAGTTATGACGGTTCCTGTGTCCCGGGTGTCACGGGATCAAAATTCAGGGTGCTTGGCAACTGGTTCAGACCTGCGACCGTGGCAGCATCCCGGGGTCGTGCTGTGATCCCCTTTTGCGACCTTCGGACAAGCAAAGTCAATGGGGAAGCCAGATTCATTTAACAACTGGGTTATTCGCTTATCCACTGTAAGTGATTCGCTTAAAAACAGTGGCCAGAAAGGTCGTAAAATGGGGGGGAAATCACTGAGCGAATGCCTCGCTTAGCAGCGGGGACATTCTGGGCTCCATTGTGGTCGTAAGTCAAGGACTACCTGTACTCTGAGGACAGGTGTCATTCGTGCCAAAGGTGCTCTAACCTGGAACAGGCTGATCGGCCACCGAGTTCGAATCCTCCACATCGTTTCCCGGCTCTGCAAGTGAATAAGGAAACAACACAAAATCAACAACGTTCCCTTGCAACGTTCCCTCCTACACAACCAGTTTTTAATTCTGGGACAAGAATGCACAAACCACAATTTTTATGCACAGGTAATCCTCCATTTAGAACATTTAGCGGCCATTCAAAGTCACAAAAACACTGAAAAGAGGGACTTAGGACCGTTTCCCCACACTTATGACCGTTGCAGTATCCCCGGGGTCACGTGATCGAAAATTCAGACGCTCGGCAACCGACTTGTATTTATGACGGTTGCAGTGTCCCCGCCGACATGATCCGCTTCTGCGACCTTCGGACAAGCAAAGTCAGTGGGGGAGCCAGATTCACTTAGCGACCGTGTGACAAACTTAACAGCCGCAGGCATGCGCTTAACAGCCGCAGCGAGAAAGGTCGTAAAACGGATCCAAATTCACTGAGCCAACTTTTCACTCAGCCACAGAAATTTCAGGGTCAATTGTGGTCGTAAGTCGAGGACTCCCTACTATTGGCCGAATAGGTGGTAACTCCGGCAGACGCGTGACCGTACCGGTTCAATCCTCGGCACCGCCATCTTTATTTTCTGTTCTGCACGTGCGCAGAACAATCTTCATAGAAAAAATGTCATTTTTTCTCCTTTTTTTAATAATATATGCATGCCGGTCCGAGAAATGGGCCGTTTTTTGCAAAAACGGAGGCGTTTTTGCCTCCCCCCAGCCCTGCTGAAGCCTGTAGAGAAGGGGTATCCAAACCTGGGAACTTTCAGACTTGTGGACTTCAACTCCCAGAATTCCCCAGCCAGGAGGATTCTGGGAGTTGAAGTCCACAAGTCTTAAAGTTCCCAAGTTTGGACACCCCCGCTGTAGAGTGTTCCTGGGGGGCCAGGGAGGACAAAAATGTTTTTTTTTTCTTACAGGGGAGTTTGCAGGAGTTCCCTTAGCACCAGCAAGGCTGGAGGGCCCCGACCAGTGGTGGGTTTCAAAATTTTTTAGAACCTCTTCTGTAGGTGTGGCCTGCTTTGTGGGAGTGGCTTGCTGGCCATGTGACCGGGTGGGAGTGGCTTGCCAGCCATGTAACTGGGTGGGCATGGCCAACTTGCAAAATGTGGTGAAACTCACTTAACGCTCTTGCTTAGAAAACCAAAATGTTGGCTCAGAAACTCTGGCGTTTGAAGCACGCAAGTCTTAAAGCTGTCAAGTTACAAGACCCTTGCGCCCCTAACCCTTTAGGGAACCCCCCCCCCCAGGGGTGTTCAAACTTGACAGCTTTAAGACTTGTGGACTTCAACTCCCAGAATTCCCCCTCTCGCTCTTCAAGGGGAGGTGGGATTTGCACGCCCCCCCTCCCCTGGCACAACCCCAGGGCAGGGAAAGATCTTGCACTCACAAAAG